TTAACATTACAGGCTAGATGTATGGATGGATGAATGGCTGTTTAATTTCCAGAGTCAAATAAAGTGCATATCCAGGACTAGAACATGTTCAGTATTTGTCGTTGGTTGATGGGGTTCATAAGTGTTTCTCGTTTCTTATATAGATTAAACCGTTGGTTTTACACTAGTCATTTTTGGGGCCCTTTATAGCTTGCTGTTCAGTGTGAGCCAAGGCTCTGTGTTGAAGATCGTACTTTGACCTATAGGGGTTTACTTTTACAAATTGTGACTTAGATGGTGAGTTGTCTCATTGGCACTCATACCACATCTTCTTATATCTATCAAAACACAAACAAGGATAAAAATGTTCATTTAAAGGCACTAACTCATATAAAGGGTTGACCAACGATTTCAAAAATTCAACTTATTTGCATTTTTTTCTCTCTAAAAATCGTTTTATCTATTATAGTATCAATCTAACAAGCAAAAATGTAAAAATGGTAAAAAAGGTCATTATTAATGAGCAATAACTACTATAAGTAGTCAGCTTTCGCAATTTATTTTTTTAGTAGATCTTGTGTAACTCACTGAGCATTTTTATTTTTAAAGTTTCTATCTATCTATTATAGTGTTCAGGATAGTAGGCAAACACATCAAAAAAGGTAACAAGAGTGCACACGCTGAAATGTCTCGCCTTCTTTACTAACCATTGATTTTATGTTGATAGTCCTAAATACAAAGCTTTACTACAAGTAACACATAAACTTAACATGATCCAAGAAAATGAGGTCAAGGTCAGATAAACCAAACGAGAAATACATGTACACCTGACAATCATTCAATAAACCAAACATAGTTGACCTATTGTTTATTGTTTCTAAGAAACAGTCTTAAACAAGAAAACTTAACATTGACCAATGAACCATGAAAATGAGATCAAGGTCAGATGAACAATGCCAGACAGACATGTACACCTTACAATCAATTTAGGCATTAAATATAGTTGACCTATTGCTTATAGTATCTAAGAAACAAACTTAACCATGAAAACTTAACATTGACCAATGAACCATGAAAATGAGGTCAAGGTCAGATGATACCTGCCAGACAGACATATACACCTTACAATCCTTCCATACATCAAATATAGTAGATCTATTGCTTATAGTTGAAGAAAAACAGACCAAAACACAAAAAACTTAACACTGAGCAATGAACTGTGAAAATGAGATCAAGGTCAAATAAAACCTGTGAGACTGACCTGTACATCATAAAATATTTCCATACACCATTTATAGTTGACCTATTGCATATAGTATTAGAAAAAAAAGACCAAAACTCAAAAACTTAACTGATCACTGAACCATGAAAATGAGGTCAAGGTCAGATGACACCTACCAGTTGAACATGTACACCTTACAATCATTCCATATACCAAATATAGTAGACCTACTGCTTATAGTATCTGATATATGGACTTGACCACGAAAACTTAACCTTGTTCACTGATCCATGAAATGAGGTCGAGGTCAAATGAAAATTGTCTGACGGGCATGAGGATCTTGCAAGCTATGCACATACTAAATATAGTTATCCTATTACTCATAATAAGAAAGAAATTAACATTGCAAAAAATGTTGACTTTTTTTTCAAGCAGTCACTGAACCATGAAAATGAGGTCAGGGACAATAGACATATGACAGACAGAAACTTCGTAACATAAGGCATCTATATACAAAGTATGAAGCATCCAGGTCTTCTAGCTTCAAAAATATAAAGCTTTTAAGAAGTTAGCTAACGCCGCCGCCGGATCACTATTTCTATGTCGAGCTTTCTGCTACAAAAGTCGCAGGAGCGACAAAAACTATCAATTTAATAGAGACAAAAGATTCCAAAGGGATATTCAAACCTATAAGTTGAAAAACAAGGCAATTCCATGAAAAAAAAACTGAAGAATGGGCAACACGAACCCTACCGAAAACTGGAGGCGATCTGAAGTGCTCAAGAAGGATAAGCAGAGCCCACTGTACATATGCATTCATCGTGTTTCTCATATAAGTACAGACCCAGTGATATGTCTAATTTGGTAGTTACATTTGATGAAAAGATTCGGGATTGTGGTTACGCCAATTGAAACATATCCGTCGTCATTTGTAAAACAGTCAACCAATTTGTGGTGTCGTCCATAAGCTTAAGTCAAGATATGAAGCCGACTTTACTTTATCTGTTGTATGCTTTATACCAGGTTGGCATAATCTGGCAAAGTCGCAAGACATTTTAAGTTTTGTTTTGAGCGTCACTGATGAGTCTTTTTAGGAAGAAATGTGCTTCAGGCATACAACTTTTTAAATCTGGTATCTATGATCAGTTTAATTATAGTCACCAAACTTTGATTTAAATAATAGGACATCATCTATTTAGTGGAACATTAAATTAAAGGATAATGGTAGCATCTTTTCATTTTTCCTAAGAATCTCCTGTATGAAGTCGGCAAGTAGAGAGCACAATTGGTTCCAATGGGAATGCTAATGATTGTTGAAAAACGTCCTCCAAATGTAACGTATAAGATATCTTTCAAGAAATCATGCATCTTAAAAATGACAGTTTCAGAGAATAATTTGTTTGAATCTTAGGATGTTTTTACAAAGTAAGATTTATTAACACCCCCCTAAAAGATAGCCATTTAAGGGCACTAACTCATAAAAGGAGTCCTCTGACAATTTTTATCAAAAAAGACAGTATGTAGATCTTAATATCATGAAAGACAATACTTGCATTTTATTTCAATTTTTATATTGGATTGCCAGGTTGGTTAGTAGGGATCACAAGACATATTTTATAAACTAGTATATATATTTATATATATATATATAGCATGTACAGTAAATAGACCAAGAATGATTGAGGCCAAGTTTGATTCCAATTGACCGAGTAGTTTTAGTGAAGAAGATTTTTGTAAATGTTAACAGATGATGATGGATACCAAGTAATGAGATTAACACCCTTTGTCATATGGGTTAGGTGAGATAAAAATAAATAGGGGTCTAGTTTAAAACTCTGAAATTGGCCATTTAAGAGAAATCACTCTATTACTGGGTCATTTTATAATTTTGTAAAAAATGAAAAGTGGGTAAATTTTTACAAAAAACTGACAAGTAATATGCTATGTGGTCAGATGAGCTAACAAGAGTGCATACACTAAAATATCTAGCCTGCTTAATTGATAAGATTGAATTTGAAGTTGAATGCCTCAAAGATGGAATGTCTTAATATATAATGTATAAAATAAACTTAGCACAATAATAAATATTTAAAAGATCCATCAAATAAGGTCAAGGTTGGTAAAACCTATTCAGATGGACATGTACACCTTACAATTGTTCTATACATCCAATATAATTGGCTCATCACTTAAAGTATCTAATAACAGACCTTATCACGATAAAACTCAATACTGACCAAAGAACCATGAAAAGCTCAGATGAACCCTGCCCCCAAGAAAGATTTACCCACATCTGGGTCAATTTCCCTAATGCTTCTAGAACTATAAAAAATAGAGCTAAACTAGATGTGTCGGAACGACATGAATGGCCCCGTCTCAAAAAGCTGAAAAATCTGCAATTTCAACAACACATGTGGACACAAACATGCATGGATAGTATCCAGCTCTCAAGACCAATACTAGTTTGATGAACATGGTTGCCTCACATACCAAAAAATCAGCCCAATATTTGAAGGGGTATAGAAAAAAAATCCGTATAACTGTGATTTTCAACTATTTATCAAAATCCAAAGCCCATTATTTCAGCAAAAATTTGCAGAGTGGAACAAAACTAAAACTTGATCTGTAACTCATCATGGTTAACTCACAAACCAAAAATCAGCCCAATATCTGAAGGCGTTTAGAAAAAAAGTCTGTATTACTGTGATTTTCAACAATTTATCAAAGTCCAAAGCGCGTAATTTCTGCAAAAATTAGCAGGGCAGAACGAAACTTAAACTTGATCTGTAACTCACCAAGGTTAACTCACATACCAAAAACCAGCCCAATATCTGAAGGCGTTTAGAAAAAAAGTCCGTATAACTGTGATTTTCAACAATTTATCAAAGTCCAAAGTCCGTAATTTCGGCAAAAATTAGCAGAGCGGAACCAAACTTAAACTTGATCTGTAACTCATCATGGTTAACTCACATACCGAAATCAGCCCAATATCTGAAGGCATTTAGAAAAAAAATGTGTATAATGGTTTGTTGCGGAATGACGGAATGGAAAAATGACAGAATGACGGAATGACGGAATGACAGAATGACGGAATGATGGAATGGCGGACAAGGGTAAAACTATATGGCCCGACAACTTTGTTGCGGGGCCATAAAAAATCGATGCAATGATATTTGACATGATGTTATTTTAGTAGTTGACTGAGCTTAAACATTTTAGTCTTGTTTTCTGAGGCGGGGCAGTAAACACTGAGCCTGATATTTATAAGGGTTTACAAGGTTTGCTCTTCTCCATATTTAAAGTCACTGTTTGTCAATATATCTCTGATCCTAACTTGCAATTAAAGATAGGCAAGGGATACCAAAGGGACATCCAAACTCATAAGTGGAAAAATACTCTGACAACACCATGGCTAAAAAGACACAAAACACAATGTAGAAAACTAAAGACTGAGAAACACAAACCCTATCAAAAATTGGGGGTGATATCAGGTGCTCCGGAAGGGTAAGCAGATCCTGCTCCGCATGTGGCACCCACCATGTTGCTGATGCTAGGACAAACCAGGTGATAAATCTAACTCAGTAGGTCACATTCAGGGAAAAAGGGACAGAATTGTAGTAATGATAATTGGAACATATCCGTTGTTAACTGTGAAACAGATATTTTATAAAGTCCGTACAATTTATGAAGGAATGATTTGAACTTCACAACTTGGAACTCTTGCAATAAGTTGGAAATTCAAAACTGTTTATTCTTGAGAATAGAATAATATTTGTTTTTTTAAGTGCCAACATCATACCATCTAATTTATTCCATATGCCATCATCAGACTTTGCTTTGCATTTTGTTTTGTGAATTTCGATTCCATTTGTACTGGTAACATCTGTAATGTCTTCACCAAACAATCTTCTAATCAAGGATGTCTTTCCTGCACCTTTTTTTCCAACTACTACTAAACGTATGTCTCTCTTTTTCTCATAGCCTGACTCAAGTAATTTGAGGTACAAATCAATAGATCTTTTGTCAGCCATTGATTTTATTTCAGTTGGAACCATATCATCTAAAAAGATATTTTTTCATAAACTAGTTTTTCTCATAAACATGATAAAGAAGAACATTATAACTTTACTCTATTTTATTAAGTATACACATGTAAATATTCTTTTTTTTTTGCCTGTTTTCACTGTATGTTAATATTTAATATTCAATTACATTACATATGTATGTTTTATAAGAATCCGTAGTTTTGATCGAAAGACAACAGTCATGAGACATTCCGAAATTATATTTTAGTTACCAATAAAATTTATTCTTCATGACTGCATGTGCTTCCTATGAGAACATCAGAACAAAACGTAGGAAAAATAATGAAAAGCTTGATATGGCTTGCTATTTCCTGATTGTAGCAGAAACATCTAATCATTAGAACTAAATCCTTCTTTTTTGTCCTTTTACAGGGTTGTAAAAGCATTGATGGTTTGCACATTTGTGTTATATTCTACAAAAGTGCTTCATTTCTCCGATTCTATATTTTGACAGACAAATTCACTTGCCACAGTATCAACGATTATATATATAGACATATCAATTAATTTGCCACCGTCATGACCGTATAACCATTCTATATTTTGACAGATAAATTCACTTGCCACTGTATCAACGATTATATATATAGACAGACACATTCACTTGCAACCGTATCAACGATTATATATATTGACAGACAAATTCACTTGCCACTGTATCAACGATTATATATATTGACAGACAAATTCACTTGCAACTGTATCAACGATTATATATATTGACAGACAAATTCACTCGCCTGCAGTCAGTCTTCACTTGATGAGTGAGATAAAAATCTACGCTCCTCACAGACTGTGAATAAACAACTGGTCTACCTCTATGTAATGTCTAAAGGACTAACATTTAATCAAAAACACAAAGCAGAACAACCATGGGTTTAATAGAGGCATGTTAACTTTTCAAAATGTTACAAAGAAAGTTGTTCTTTTTGGTCAGTAGGACCTAGCTGTTATCAAAATCTTTTCTTATTCAGAAGCAAATAAATATTTGTATTTCAAATGACAAATAAGTTCTGATTCATTTATAATAATTACGGTTTGTTAATTTTAAAATGTAATCAGGTATTAGCTTGGATGGAGAGTTGTCTCATTGGCACTCATACCACATCTTCTTAGATCTAATTAGCGAAATAAATTGGTCATTTAAAATTTCTAGGTCTTAGGCCAAATAAAATAAACATATATATTTCCATCCCCGCCCGCCCTTTTAAAATCATTTCCCCCCAATTTTGTTTATTTAAAAAAATTACGATTTCAAGTTTTTCATGTCCATTATACAGATAACCTTGCTAAAACATTAGTTTTATTCAAAACTTCCTGTTGCAAAATTCGGTTTTCATATTTTTTAGTTATTTAACCAAAATAATTCAGTCAATATATTCTACTGTTTTCCTTTATTACAATAACAAAATGTCTTTTGGTGATAGTTTACTTCTGTTTAAAGCATACAACATTTGGTGAGCAATAAATTTAATTCAAGGGAAATAATTTACATCCTTGATTAATATAAGGCCTCTAAGTTTAGTCTTCACAATATCAAAATGATATTTGTAGATTTCAATTAGCTGTTTCAAGTCTGTTTTGGTTTCCCTAAAGTCATTACCACTGTATCAAATTGGGTTTCAAGAAATCGGAGAGAGACGATAAACAAATTTAACATGATAGAATGCTCTTTCATTTAAAGCATTTCTATTGGTTTAACGCTTATAAAATAGTCTCCCTCTTATGCTCGGGATAAAATTCCTATAACAACCAAGGCCATGTGAAAATTTTCAACAAATCTATGGCTTGCATGAATTATTTCTTAAATAAAACATGATTATATACCGGTTCCAGGGGTCCCAAGAAATCGTATTTTTATCACTTCCAGATACCAAAGGAATGATTGATACCTGTTCCTGTAGCTCAGGTACCCAAAACATTGTATGTAATCGAGAATGTAAAAAATATTAAATTCCGTGGTTCTTCTGCGTAAAATGGAAGTACATTATAAATCGTTCTAAATGGAAGTCTTGTCTATGACTTAAAAGTCTGTCCAATGACGGAAACAATATCCAGACGCCTTTATTTTCGTTTTCCTCCCAAAATAACCCAAACAGAATAATCACAAGCGAGGATGACAAATGCGACTATGCATGGTACCTATAGGACACAGAGGCATGATGATTAATTTATTGTGGAAGGAAGAAGCGACACACAAAATGAGGTCTTCTCATTTAATAGTATAGATGATAACAGCCAACAACTGCTAAAAAGGGAGGGGGATGCAAAGTGATGTCTGAAGCTAACAGGGTCTTTAGTCCAGGTGAGCTAATAAACTGCTTCGCTGAGCGAAGCTGGATACGCCCGCAGAGGTCCAACCCTGAACAGTTGGGGCAAAAATGGACACAATATTCAAGCTTGATACAGGTCTGAATTTGGATTGTTTTCAAGCTTGATACAGGTCTGAATTTGGATTGTTAATAAATATTTGACATATTATAGGTTTCTGAATAAATGTAGTCAAAGATTTTGAAATTGGTTATATGAATTGAATTTATATTCAATTAAAGATTTCTTGCTGTTGTGCAATACTTAGTAAATCTGTTGTCAGACTATAAACAAACAATAACTTCTCAATGTTATATCAGAAATTTATAAAAAACTAAAGGGAGGTTATCTTAATAGATATAAATCAGTCATCAAAGTTTAATGAAAACTGCTTTAAGCACTTTAAGGATATTGTCCAAAAACTTGAAAATCAACCCTTTTTTTATGAATAAAATCTTATAACTCCCCTACTGAAAATGAGTACGGGATTCCACTGGATTTCCAGTGAAATTACACTGGTATTCAGTGGAAAAAAATATTCCGATGGAATCCCATTAGAATTTCATCCAAAACATCTGAAATATTTTTCACACTGTAATTCCAATGGAAAATCAGTGAAATTTCCAATGAAACTTCCAAAGATTTTCCAATTAATTTCCAGTGGAATATTATTGTTTATATTTCAGTGGAGTTTTGATTTAATGCAAATATTCCAGTGGAATTTTGGACTTAGAAATTTAAAGGAATATATACTTCTAATTTAAATTTTTCAAATAATTAAGTGCATGATTATTATATAAAGGATTTAATTTGTAACATATAATTTGCTGGCCTGATAAGAAATTAAATATTATAATCATGATGATATATGGGATGTAATGAATATTTCATAAACCTACATATATACATGTATATGAAACATTTGTTCAAAAAATGTTACATGGTTAAATGTAATATGAAATCACTTGCCTAGTAACAAATGAAAATAATCATTTGGTCTGAAAGACCCCCCCCGCCCCCCCAATATAAAATAAGTAAAATGGTAGCTCCTCAGATGTAGGGTGAATAAAATGCATCACCATATAGCCTATGAGTATGACACATTGAAAGGATACATTTTAACTATTAAGAAATAAAATTAAATGTGCAATAATCAGATAATATAAATAAAGAAATGAATATTTTATATCAAATTGGGTTGAGAATAAGATTCTGTTTGATTTAACGAACAAAAACAATTAAGATTCTTTTTGAAAAATGTGCATGGCTCTTAAAAGGGCCGTTTTAAACAGATCTATTGCAGAAATTATCTTCAGACTGTACGAATTGTTAGGATAACTCCGTTTTTTTCTTCAAGTGACCGTACTGGCAACTGCCCTGCACTACAGTCTACATGTATACAATAATATTATATAATTATTTCTCCTTTGACTTCATCATGTTCATTAACTGATACTGGTCTACTGTTCTTTTGAGAAAAGTAAAGTGAAAGGCTTTCATTTTCCACATTGTTCTATAAACTGTTTCGGTATCTTAACTTTGTCGGTGTGATGAATTTTTCATCATTTTCATGTCCTGAACTCGGCACTGGAACTCGGGTCATATAAGTTAATCTATAGAAACATTTCACATATAATCCGCTCCAATCAATTGTACGCTAAATGTCAGTGTTTTGGCATAATTTGAGCAGAAAATTCGTGAAACTGTAGTCTATAATGTTGTTTTTCAACACACGTTTACATTCATGGAGGCTGCCATTTTTTTCTACCAGACTATATATATAACCGCTGATTTGATTGGATAACTCTATTTCCAGGATTTCCGATCGGCCAATCAGATAGTCGTTATCATTAATACACGGAATGTGTTCAAATTTGAAACTAAAAATATTGTACGAGTATGTATCCTGTCCAGCATTGACCAGCTGTGGTTACATTAATCATGTTAATAATAATTAATACTCAACAACCTTCGATAAATAAAGAAATAGACATTAAAGGCAGAACATTTAGGTATGACATTAGCTGTTGAACCAAGAATTTACGATGAGACAATGTGCTGATGTAGGGCAGACGTACAGCAGATACAGGTAATTTTTAAGAGATTTTACATTTGATTTTTACATCATGAATATTTTTAATTAAAATTAAAAAAAAAGATATACACCCCCTTTAGTTTCATTCATGGGCTCTGTTAGTTCACACTTTGAGGATGACCATTTGGTGTTCTGAAAAGGGGGAGGTGGGAATGTAATAATAATTTTATTATTCAATATTGAATTACATTGTGTGCCTTCACAATCAAGGAAAGATGTTTACAGTTTACTACACAATGTCAGGCACATTCAACTTAATTTTGTCATGTTCTGATTTGGATGGACATGCAACACAAAAAATCCCTAAAGGTTAATATTGTGTTTTAGAGTCTTTATACTTAATTGAAAGAAGCTTCTTAATTATATATGTACATTGTATGATAAATATCAGTTATATATGATGCATACAGGTCATGACCAGAATTAAAAATTATTAATAAAATGTTTTTACATTTTTTTTTTAGGTTGTCCATATATTAAAAGGGATTGATCATGGTGAAGGTACAAAGCTGCAAAAATGATGACTGTGCATCGATCAATATCCACTCAATAATATGAAAACACGATGAAAACAAACGAACCAGCAGCAGAAAAGAAATTTGAGTATAAGATTATTGAAAGGTACTTATTGAATTATTTTTTCATCCTTCCCACACTTGAAATAAAAATACATTAATCATGTTAATCATTCACATCTATAAGCTGTAAACACATCTCAAAAACATTGATCTGATCATCATGCACAATGGTTAATCATGGCTATTATGTGAACAAAATGAGGTGTCTGGTATGCTTCAACCAGATAGTAAACCAACAACAAACACAACACAAAGGGAAAGATAATATGAGCTAGGCTAAATAAAAATATATGCGTGGTTCCAATTACCTTACCTACCTTTTTTTTTAGTCTTAACAATAGCCTACCCTAAAGATTTTTTTGTCATTTTTCAGTAAGTACTGTTTAAGTCAGAATGTTGCTCCCATAGACATGATAGACTCAATGTAAAAAAAAACCATAAAATAAAAAAAATTCTTACCTACCTACCCTAATTTTTTTTAAATGTAACTGGAACCACACATACTATTTTATTTGGCTTTGAGAGACACCTGATCCATGAACAATAAAAGTCTATTTTGATAAAAAGAGATGTGTGTTATAAGTCTAAGAGACAGCAACCCAACAACTATAGCCAAAGATATCTGGAGAACACATAGTCTTCAACAATAGACATACATGTGCCTAAATTGCTCTTAGTGTATAAATGTTGTGAATAAATTACACACAAACACAAATAAAATATGCCAGTAACATATATTTTTGAATAATTGCAGACTGGAGCATGGTATTGTAATGTTATTTTAATTCAAAATTCTATGCATGTTATGATGTATGATTTTTTTTCTTTCAGATTAATCAATGAAGACTTAATGGAACAGGATTGGAATGCAGAAACTTTGGACTTAATTCATGAATAATATCAATGGATGATGAAGAAAACTGACCAAACTGACAAAGTATTTCGTATGCATGTAAACTGGACATTTTTGTTTGTTTAATGCACAATAAACAAATTTGTAAAATTGAAAATTAAAACCATTTGTGAAAGATTTCAAGAGGACCAAAAGTTACCATGGACTTATGAATGATTTAACCAGAAAAATGATTTACATGTACAATTAAGTAAATACATCTTTGACTAAAAAATGATAATTTATCAACGTTAATATTTTAAAGAGGTTGATCTTTTCGTTTAAAAGGTCTTAAATGTGGATGATGTATAAACTGTTGTAATTTCTTTAATTGTTGACTTGCATTAAAATGGTTATTGTCTTATTCAAGTTTTCTTATTAATTCATTCAAAAATAAGCAGTGCATGCAAAATGATATCTAACATTTCAGTGGAATTGTCAATTTCCATTGAAATATCACTGGTTTTCTTTGGTTGATTGTTACAATTTCCAATGGAATTACCACTGGTATCCCAGTAGAAAACAATAAATGTCCAGTGGGAAAACAATGGTACTCCAACGAAGTTTTCACTGGTATTCCAATGGAATTTCCACTGTATTCCACTCGAGTATTCACCGGAATCCCACTGGATATTCCACTGATATCCCAATGGAAAACAATGAATGTCCAATGAAAATCCCGACCAAATTTCCCAGTGGTAATACAGTGGTATTCCAATGGAACTCTGATGGAACTCCACTGGTATTTTCAGTGAAATCCCACTTTACATTTTCAGTAGGGTCGGAAACGTAAAATCTTAAATTTATAAAAATCAAAACGGAGCTTACAACAATAGATATAAATAATTTACCAAAGTTTCATAAAAAATGCTGAAAGAGTTATTGTCTAAAAACTGGAAAATCCCCCGTTTTGTAATGAATAAAACCCCATAAATCAAAAACGTATGGTCTAAAATTTATAAAAATCAAAAGGGAGCTCATGTCGATAGAAATAAACAATTCACCAAAGTTTCTTGCAAGTTGGGAAAATTGTTTTCGAGTTATTGTCCACAAACTGGAAAATCCCCCCTTTTTTAATGAATAAAACCCCAAAACTCAGAAACGGTAAATTCGAAATTTATAAAAAACGAAAGGGAGCTCACATCAATAGATATAAACAATTCACCAAAAGTTTCATGCATATTGGTTAAAGCATTTTTGAGTTAATGTCCGACATGTTGACGACGGACAGACGGTCAACGGTATACCATAATACGTCCCGTAAACGGGCGTATAAAAATGGGAAACAAATTACAGAAACTTTACATTTGGAGGATAAACTTGACAAACTTTCAACAACTGAACTAGAAAAGAAAAAGTTTAAAAATTAAATAATGCTGTGAGTGTCCTTACCTACTGACACATTCATTAGATGTACAAATTTTAGACTTCTCAAGCGTCTGGTGAAAATTAATCAAGGCAATCGCTTTATACACAATTAATTCATTGTTTCAGGGGTTAAAAAATCCAATGGCCCGACGCCCGGGGCTACAGCATTTACGCTTCGGGCAATCAAAACTTGTAACCCAATATACCCAACAGACTAGTAACAAAAAATTCTTGGCGTTTCCAAAATAGAAAGTGGAAAATCCCCTCATTACTATTCTATCTTAGCCAATCAGATTCAATTACATCATCCGGGATTTCAAGAATTTGAACTGATTTTGTACATGTTTTAAAATAGAACAAATAACTCTGGGTGGACCGGTATCATGTATTGATCGCAATTCACATACTTTCAATATCGATTTCTCAGTACAGGGGGTATTGTACATTGCTTATGCCGAGATTTTCAATTACTGGTGACAGTTTTGGGCCAGTGGGGGTATATGATGCATTGATCAATATTGACCTGTCATGTCGGACAGCTGTTAAGCACTAAACCATGCAACAAAATATTTGAAATATTTTAGTACGGACACCCCAGGAACTAATGGTCAGTTTCAAAACAAAAAACGGTAGATGAAGGGGCTGAAAATTCATCCCAAAAAATGACAAATACAACCGGGAAAAGCTGAAAAGAACATTTATAGTGTCATGGACAAAAAGATTCCCAGGGCAAGGTCGGCTGTTGCTGATGATAAACCAGAGACAATGTTTTGTGAATATTGCTGTTATTTTCCCTATCACGCTAATAAAAAGTCTGCTTTGTATGTGGGAACAAATATATGATTTGAACCACTGGTTTCACATGACAAGACCAATGAACATGTTTTCTGTAGTTTATCATGGTGATCAGAGATAATCTTGGGTAAACACTCGTGCAAAAAGAATGTCATAAATCAATACAGTGGTCAGTGACTGGAAATTTAATTACACCTGTATTATCGCATTAACTCTTCAATCCATTTAAATCCCCGAGATCCTGTAAAATATTTAACAACCCATAGTACAACGGATAGAAATGAACAAGTTTAAAGAACTCGTTGTATTATGCAGCGAACTCTGAATTTGTTAGACATACTCGGGCTAGCAGGTCAGTTTTGATGGGCTAGCAGTTCTTCCAACAGGGCTTGTAAAATCCTGCTACCAATAAGTCCTGGGCTAGTGAGCTGTAACAAAATTTTTTAACCCCTGTGTTTGCAATATTCTAATTTTTTGTCTTTTTGACATATTATTCAGTGTTCTTGTTAATGGCGCGTACACAAGACTTAACATTACCGTTTGTCTGGGACAAATAAAAGTAAGAATTGGACAAGTAGAACCAACATTTTAGTTGTCCAATGGGATAAGTGAATAATCATCAAATTAGAACATTCTCCCTTTAGCAATGAGATGTTCTTTGTATCTGTCATATTTTCTTCAAAAGCAAAGAAATACATTTTACCCCTATGTTCCATTTTAGCCATAGTGGCTATGTTTCTTGAAGTACAAGAAAATAAAATACAAAATTTATACTAGATACTCTGAAACTCATTCAGCCCAAGTTTGGCTAAAATTGATTCAGCAGTTTCAAAGGAGAAGATTTTTTAAAGTAAGCAAACTAGATGAACAAATTGTGAAAAATTGTCTTTAAAGGGCAATAACTCCTTAAGGACACATTTGACAATTTTGGTTATATTAACTTATTTGTAGATCTTACTTGCTGAACATTTTTGCTGTTCACAGTTTATCTTTATCATTAACATTATTCAAAATTATAACCAAAAACTGCAAAATTCCTTAAAATTACCAATTTAGTGGCAGCAACCCAACAATGGACTGTTAGATTCATCTGAAAATTTCATGGCTGATAGAACTTCACCTAATAAACACTTTTACCCCTGTCAGATTTGTTCTAACTCCTTTGGTTTTTTAGATATAAGCCAAAAACTGCATTTTACCCCTATGTATTATTTTTAGCCATGGTGGCTATGTTTTTTGATGAAACAGAAAATTAAACACAAACTTTATTCTAGATACCCTAAGGATCATTCAGCTTAAGTTAGGTTGGAATTGGTTCAATGGTTTCAGAGGTGAAGATTTTTTATACGACCGCAAAAATTAAAAATTTTTGGTCGTATATTGGTATCACGTTGTCGTCGTCGTCCGGCGGCGTTGTCGTCAGCGTCATCCGAAGAAAGATGGTTTCAGGATAATAACTTTAGTATAAGTAAATAGAAATCAATAAAATTTTAACACAAGGTTTATAACCACTAAAGGAAGGTTGGGATTGATTTTGAGGGTTATGGTCCCAACTGTTTAGGAATTAGGGGCCAAAAAGGGGCCCAAATAAGCATTTTTGTAGTTTCCAGACAATAACTTGTGTTAAAGTGTATGAATCTCTCTGAAATTATACCACAAGTTTCCATACTACAAAGTTAGGATTGACTTTGGGGGGTTATGGCTCAAACCAATTAGTAATTAGGGGCAAAAAAAGGGGAAAGACAAGGGTTTTTCTGGTTAAAGGACAATTGAGACAATTTAAAAGCAGTGTAAGGGAGGTAATCCAAATCAATTAAAAGAACACTGTTTGATTACCTCCCTTGCACTGCTTGTAAATTATGTATTAAGAAATGATGATTGTCTTTAGGTGATTAGCTGTCAATTTATTTTTAGCAGTTACTATTAATTAATATTAATTTTAGCCATGACTATATATGTCATTTTATATTTTAAAACTTTTATGATGTATTTAAATGGGTTAATTATGGTTGCAAACTCCATTAGAAATTTGAATTGAGATATAAATATACTGACCATATCTTGAGGGAAAGATTTTTTTGGGGGGAATAAGGGAAAGGGGGGAGGTGAAAAAAATTGGAAGGGGGGGGGGGGGCAATTTTTCTCATTTCAGATTTCACAAATTAAAAGAAAATTTCTTCAAATATTTTTTGCAGGTTAATATTCAACAGCAAAGTGTATTGCACAAAAGCAAAAAAAGGGGTAAAATTTTTTTTTTTTTTTTGGGGGGGGGGGGGGGTCAATTAGCAATAGCATATTGTATTGCACAAAAGCAAAAAATTGAATATAAATTCAAATCATAAAACCAATTTGAAGTTCTTTGACTACAGTTATTCTGTGTCAGAAACCTATTATGTGTCAAAAATTTAGTTACAATCCAAATTCAGACCTGTATCAAGCATGAATATTGTGTCCATTTTGGCCCCAACTTTTCAGGGTTGGACATCTGCGGTCGTATCCAGCTGCGCTCAGCCAAGCAATTTATTAAAGTTAGAAAACATGATAAACAAATTGTGTAAAATTGTCCATAAAGGGCATTACTCTTTAAGAGATCAATTGACAATTTTGGTCATATAAACTTTTTTGTAGATCTTACTTTGCTGAACATATTTGCTGTTTACAGTTTATCTTTATCATTCAAGATAATACCCAAAAACTGCAAAATTTCCTTAAAATTACCAATTTAGTGGCAGCAACCCAACAATGGGTTATCAGATTCATTTGAAAATTTCAGGGCTGATAGAACTTCACCTAATGAACACTTTCACTCTGTCAGATTTGTTCTAACTCCTTTGGTATTTTAGATATAGACCAAAAACTGCATTTTACCCCTATGTTCTATTTATAGCCATGGAGGCTATGTTTTTTGACGAAAAAGAAAAAAAAACACAAACTTTATTCTAGATACCCTAAGGATCATTCAGCTAAAGTTTGGTTGGAATTGGTTCAGTGGTTTCAGAGGAGAAGATTTTTAAAGTTAGAAAACATGATAAACAAATTGTGTAAAATTGTCCTTAAAGGGCAATAACTCATTAAGGGGTCAATTGACAATTTTGGTCATATAAACTTATTTGTATATCTTACTTTGCTGAACATATTTGCTGTTTACAGTTTATCTTTATCATTAACACTATTCAAGATAATACCCAACAACTGCAAAATTTCCTTAAAATTACGAATTTAGTGGCAGCAACCCAACAATGGGTTATTAGATTCATCTGAAAATTTCAGAGCTGATAGAACTTTACCTTATAAACACTTTAACCCCAGTCAGATTTGCTCTTACTGCTTTGGTTTTTGAGATATAAGCCAAAAACTGCATTTTACCCCTATGTTCTATTTTTAGCCATGGTGGCAATGTTTTTTGACGAAACAGAAAATAAAACACAAACTTTATTCTAGATACCCTAAGAATCATTTAGCTTAGGTTTGGTTGGAATTGGTTCGGTAGTTTCAGAGGAGAAGATGTCTGAAATAGTTTACACCAGACGGACGACGACGACGGACGTCAAGTGATGGCTAAAGCTCACAGTTTCGAAGGAACGGTGAGCTAAAAACCGCTGGACAAAAGCCCCCCAAAACAATCCCAACCGTCCTTTAGTGATATGGAACGTTGGGCTTAAATTTCATAGAGATCCATAATCAAGTTATTGTCTGCGAACCAAAATGTCTTCAGACGCAGACGCAGACAACATCATAATATAATACTACTGCAAATAAATTTGCGGTCGTACAAAAAAATCGCAATACTATATGCACGCAATAATTTTGAATTTACGATACGTAGTTGGCCACAAAAGATCCTGACATGAACTCTGCCAGACAGACATGTACACCAAACACTTTTAAAATACCAAATATTTATTTCAAAAACTATTAATGAAAATTACCTTCCATCCCTTGTCCAACAGTCACACCTGAAGATTCCTCTGACATGGCAGACTAAAAAATAAGGAATATGCACTGTGAATATACCTTTACTCATATCACTTGTAGAACTATTAAGTTTCTGAAATATAAACCCCCCAAAAATAATATATAATACAAATATTTCACATTATATAAAATATATCAAACAAATTTTCATATTTTTCAGGAAAATGTGTGGTCCAGAATAATAGAGAGAAATAGTTTAAAGTATACAGGATGTTTTTACATTTGTAAAATCCCCTTGCAGGTATTTTTTGTCCCCAAAAAATTATACAATACAACAAGAATATTTATGTTTAATGAAAACCTGTTTTGCTGATCATTTTGGCTTGACTAAGTTTTATAGTTTTAACAATAAAAAGCGTAAACGAAAAATAAACAAGATGCTCAAACGAACTTGTAGCGCTGGCCTTGCCAACACTAAATTTGATTGATTACTTAATTCAATGATTGCTTAATTGTTGGTGTTTAACACTACTATTTGGCTAAATTGTGGCAGTCAGTTTTCATTGGTGCATTTTACCCTAATGTTCTATTTTTAGCTATGGCAGCCATGTTTTGTTTTTAAGGCTATAATTCCTTAAGAAGTCATCCAGTTTTTTAGGTTGTATTTGCAATTTTATAGATCTTGCATTTCTGATTATTTTTGCTGCTTACATTTTATACTTCTCTATTATAGTTTTCAAGGTACGTGTAATGGGAAATTTAAGCATTAAAAATAGTAAAAAATTGTCATTTAAGGTCAATAACTCCTATCATGCCTATGGTTATATTGATATCTTGAAGATCATGTATTGCTGATCCCTTTTGCTTTAGACAGTTTTTTACCTATCTCATAAAGTTTTCGAGATAAGAGACAGAAAAAAAAGAAAACAAGCATTTTGAGAGTATTGTATGGCAATACACAGTCCCCTACAGGTTGAAATTTTATTGTACTGGAACATAATGCTAACTTGATCCATAACTTGTAAACTATAAATAACAAATATCAAATCAATATCTTCAAGTGTTATCCAAAAAAAATCTGAAAAATTAATTATTTGCGTGAAGTCGAAGGACCAAAACTCTGCACAAACTCATCAGTCCAGAACACAATCCGAACTTGATCTGTACCCTGTCATGGTATATACCAAATAACAAACCAATATCTTCAAGCAAGACAAACAAGAGGCTCTAAAGAGCCTGTGTCGCTCACCTTGGTCTATGTGCATATTAAACAAAGGACACAGATGGATTCATGACAAAATTGTGTTTTGGTGATGAAGTGTTTGTAGATCTTACTTTACTGAACATTCTTGATGCTAACAATTATCTCTATCTATAATGAACTTGGCCCAGTAGTTTCAGTGGAAATTATTTTGTAAAAATTTACAAAATTTATGAAAATTGTTAAAAATTGATTATAAAGGGCAATAACTCCTTAAGGGGTCAATTGAACATTTTGGTCATGTTGACTTATATGTAGGTCTTACTTTGCTGTACATTATTGCTGTTTACAGTTTATCTCTATCTATAATAATATTCATGATAATAACCAAAAGCTGAAAAAATTTCTAAAAATTACCAATTCAGGGGCAGCAACCCAACAACGGGTTGCCTGAATGGTCTGAAAATTTAAGGGCACATAGATCTTGACCTAATGAACAATTTTGTTTTCGAAAGATTTGCTCAAAATGCTTTGGGTTTAGATATATGAGCCAAAAACTGCATTTTACCCTATGTACTATTATTAGCCATGTCGGCCATCTTGGTTCGCGGGCCAGGTCATCAGACACAATTTTTAAACTACATACCCTAATGATGATTGTTTACAACTTTGGTTTAATTCATCTTAGTATTTTCAGAGAAGATTTTTGTAAAAGATAAAAATTTACGAAAAATTGACTATAAAAGGGCAATAACTCCTTAAGGGGTCAACTGACCATTTTGGTCATGTTGACTTATTTGTAGAACTTACTTTGCTGAACATTATTGCTGTTTACAGTTTATCTCTATCTATAATAATATTCAAGATCATAACCAAATACTGCAAAATTTCCTTAAAATTACTAATTCAGGGGCAGCAACCTAACAACGGGTTGTCCGATTCATTTGAAAATTTCAGGGCAGATAGACCTTGACCTGATAAACATTTTTACCCCCATGTCAGATTTGCTCTCAATGCTTTGGTTTCAGAGATATAAGCCAAAATCTACATTTTACCCCTATGTTCTATTTTTAGCCATGGCGGCCATCTTGGTTGGTTGGCCGGGTCACCGGACACATTTTTTAAACTAGATACCCTAATGATGATTGTGGCCAAGTTTGGTTAAATTTAACCCAGTAGTTTCAGAGGAGAAGATTTTTGTAAAAGTTTACGGACGACGGACGCCAAGTGATGAGAAAAGCTCACTTGGCCCAAAGGACCAGGTGAGCTTAAAAACTAGAGGCTCTAAAGAGCCTGTGTCGTTCACCTTGGTCTTGATGTATATTCAACAAAGGACTCCCTCCAATATTGTCGACGAAAATATAATTCATGACAAAAATCTATGTTTTGTTTATCTTGTATTGCTGATCATTTAGTCTGTTTAGTTTTTCTCTATCTTCTTTAGTTTTTGCTCAAAACACAAAAGGGGGAAAAAAAAACTCATTTAAGGGGAATCACTCATATAAAGAGTGACAGTCTTCTAACTATATGACTTGTTGGTAGATCTTCATTTGCGGATCATTTTTGTGATTTTAAGTGTCTATTTATCTTTTATATTTTTTATCATATAAGACAAAACACAAAAAAACACCAAAAAATGGTGAAAATCGTCATTAAAGGACAGTATATCCAATAAGAGTTGTCGGACAATTTCCTCTATATGGTCTTAACTGTAGATCTTGTCTTGCTGATCATTTTTGCTTAACTAATATCTATAATTTTTAAAGATAAAAGGCAAAAACTATAAAAATAGGGTAAAAATCATCATCAAAGGGTAATAACTCTAATAAGGAGTCGACAGACGATTTCAACCTATGTAAAACTTATTTGTAGAACTTGTCTTGCTGATCATTTTTGCAATTTAAAATTTCTGTATATTTATTATAGTTTTCAAGATAAATAGGCAAAAATATAATAAACTGTTATCACAGAGATATGTCTCGCCTTTTTGTAATTTTGATAATGCAAATGTTGAATTTAAAATAGCAATACTTTAACATGTAAGTTATGCAAATATTCAAAGTCAATGAACCATGACTGAAGGTTCATGGCTAAACAATCTCCATGGAATGAGTTGTGCCAATGCTAATACAACTGCATGCCAAATACCATTGATTTATTATAAGTCGTTCCCTTGAAACAAACCTAAACACAAACACTTGTAAACTAGTAAAAGTTTCAAAGTCAATGAACCATGATCAGGGGTGGGGCTATATAATCTCCATGGAAACGTTACTTGCAAATGCCAATAAATTTGCATACCAAATATCAATGACTTAACATTAGCAGTTCATCTTAAACTGATCTAATCACAAACTAATACATGTAAACTAAGCAAAAGTTTCAAAGTAAATAGACCATGACTGAGGGAGTGGCGCCAAATATTCTCCATGGAAATGAGATGTTCTAATGCTTATACAACTGAACACCAATTAACATTGGCCTACCACTAATGGTTCCCTTTGAACTGACCTAATCACAAACTAATACATGTTAACTTAGCAAAATTTTCAAAGTCTATAGACCATGACTAAGGGGACGGAGCCAAATAATCTCCATGGAAATGAGATATGCCAATGCTTATACAACTGCATACCAAATATCATTGACCTACCACTAGTGGTTCCCCATAAATTGACCTAATCACAAACTAATACATGTAAACTATGAAAAGTTTCAAAGTCTATAGACCTTAACTGAGGGGGAGGGGCCATATAATCTCCATGGTAATGAGATGTGCCAATGCTAATACAACTGCATACCAAATATCATTGACCTACCACTAGCAGTTCACCATGAACTAGACCTTATCACAAACTAATACATTGTTGACGCCGCCGCCGGAAACAGCATACCTATGTCTCGCTTTTTGACTCCGTCAAGGCGAGAAAAAAACTAGATATGTTGGAACGACACAAATGGCCCCGTCTCAAAAAGTTTTAAAATCTGCAATTTCAACAACACATGTGGACACAAACATGCATGGATAGTTATACAGCGACTCTTTTCAAAAAAAATCTTACGATTAAAATGTGTCGTAAGTTATACTGAAATGTGTATGACTTACAAGTAATTTTACTCAAGATTTTTTGTGAAAAGAGCCGCAGCTCTCAAGACCAATACTAGTTTGATGAAAAATTTCCTTGATTAATGAGTAGTTAAATTTCAAACTATCGGCAAACAGGAAGTGGATGTACTGAAGATGTATTGAAACAACATGAAAATCAGACCGAAACATAAACTTGATCTGTAACTCATCATGGTTAACTCACATACCAAAAATCAGCCCAATATCTGAAGGCGTTTAGAAAAAACCCCGTATAACTGTGATTTTCAACAATTTATCAAAGTCCATTATTTTGGCAAAAATTAGCAGAGCGGAACGAAACTTAAACTTGATCTGTAACACATCATGGTTAACTAACATACCAAAAATCAGCCCAATATCTGAAGGCTTTTAGAAAAAAAGTCCGTATAATGGTTTGTTGCGGAATGACGGACAAGGGTAAAACTATATATATGGTGCGACAACTTTGTAAAAAGTAAAAGTAAAGTGTGGTTAAATTTGGCCAAGTAGTTTCAGAGGAGATTTTTGTAAAATTTAACAGATGATGATGGACGATGTATCTGTAATTTGCCATGGTAAAACTATATACCAAATATCAAATCAAAATCTTGAAGCATGACGAAAAAATGTGAAAAACTGATAACCTGTGTGAATTTAAAAAGTCAAAGGACTTAAACTCACAACCTGTGTGTCAAAAGGCTAGTGATACAGAAGTTAGCTAGGTAAAAGAATATTTGCTGAAGTAGGACAAAGTTTTTTGTATGCCAAGCTTAAAAAACAATACATTTATCTCCCTTTTTATGCCTTCTAATACAAAATTAACAAATCATTCAATTATCGACTTACTGAAATTCAAAAACTTGCTCTCTTTTGTTTACTCTTAAATGAAATAGAAGACATCTGCACATTTAGTTGATTATTGAAGAAAACTGACGTCTAAACTTAGTTAAAGGCCGGTAAAGCGTGGAATTTACCGCCTCAAATATATGATGTTGTCCAATAAAAATCGTGATAATAAATAAATTGCATTAGAATTTTGATTTATTTGTACTAGACAATAAAAAATATTTAATTTTTTTAAGATTTCTCTCCTGAAGTATCTTGGTTTTGCGACATTTGATTTCTGAGTTTTATATTTCTTTATATTTTGTAACTTATTTTCTAATTGATTCAATGTAAGCATGTGTAATTCAACACTATATGTACCTGTAAGTATTCCATCACTTCTTTATACTGTTTTTCTGCTGCTAGATCGTATGGAGTCTGACCCTGAAATACAGACAAATCTTTATATTGCTTTCATCTGTTAACCACAAAGAAGACTTTTGTTACACATATCTTACAATTAGTAAGACCAGTAGCAGCTGAGTGGTGTTTTATTTCATCTTTACAGATGCTAACCATATTATTTTGTTCATTAAATATAACTCTTAAGACAACATTTAGATTATTTTTCACAATTTTCTGAACACTTGAAAAAGGCTTTTAACTCTTTTTGTTAAAGCATATGAATAAATGCTCCGTCAGTCCCAATTTGGTCTTCTTAATTTTCTTTGCAGTTTGAAGAATGATTAATGCATCCTTATGTCTACATAAGGGGTGTGGGATTTTGGGAGTCTTCATCTTTAACTATCTTTTTATATTTTTTGGACACATTATTGACAGTTCTTTATATTCTTATATTATTCTCTAATCTTTATATTTTTGCATCCAATTATTTTCTATTCATAAATTTTTTGCCCATTTTTCTCCATTCTAAATGTGTTTTTTTTCCATTCATGATTTTCTAATCTGTATACCTAAACCACACCCTCCTATATCAGTAAACACCATCCACACCCTCCAATATTTGTATATCCCTCCTGACCCTCCTATATCTGTATAGCCACACCACACCCTCCTATATCTGTATATACCCTTTCCACACATCCTATATCAGTATACCCTTCCACACCCTCCTATATCTGTTTACCCCATCCACACCCTCCTATATATGTATACCCCATCCACACCCTCCTATATCTGTAAACTTATCCACACCGGCCTTTTTCGGCTCAACTGTAATATACGGTAGAAGTAGTTCTTTACCCAATTACATATTCATACAGCAGCAAGGATATGTATGAGACATGTATCAAATATAATGTTTGCCTGTTAATGTAGTCTCTAATCACAGACACATTGACACATAGACAGATCGACATATAGACACATAGACAAATAGACATATAGACATATAGACATATAGACACATCGACACTTAGACACATTGGTGCTATATTTCTATACGACACAGCCTTCGGCTCTAGATTTATCTTTGACACAGCCTACGGCGCTAGATTGCCGTTTGACACAGACTACGGCGCTAAATTGCCGTTTTAAACAGGTATCTGCGTTATATTGCCTTTTGATCCTAACCCTTATCTCAACCCTAATCCTAAATTCTAATTCTAAACATACCCTAACCATAATCATAACCCTAAACCCAAACACTAACCCTAAATGTGACCTTAAATCCTAACCCTAGCCTATGATACTAGATTACTATTGGACAAAGTGTACGGCTTTTGATTTCTACTTTAAACAGCCTTCTCCAGTAGATTCCTATTTTACACAGCCTTACAGCGGTTAATTTCATTATTACACTTACCATGGTGTCAGAGGACACTAGATGCTAACAAGGCGTTATATTGTTCTTTGCCAAAATCAAGATTGTTGATCATAAACTAGTGTTAATGTGTCGATGTGTCGATGATTCAATATGTCGATATGTCAATAAGACACAATATGCTTTATATTGTTCTTTGCCAAAACCTAGATTGCCGATTATAAACCAGTGTCAATGTGTCGATGTGTCAATATGTCGATGTGTCGATATTTCAATGTGTCGATGTGTCGATATTTAAATGTGTCAATGTGTCAATGTGTCCAGATTAGCAATTAAATGTAATGCCGATTCACTCATTAATTATTCGCTGATGAGAACTATTTCTTCCGTATTCTCAAGTTGATCCCCTTTTTCTGTATACCCTGTCCATACCCTCCTATATCTGTATACCCCGTCCACACCCTCCTATTTCTGTATACCACGTCAACACCCTCTTGTATCTGTATATTCAATCCACACCCTCCTATATCTGTATACCCCATCCAAACCCTTCTATATCTGTAAACCCTTCAGTACCCTCTTATATCTGTATACCCAATCCACACCCTCCTATATCTGTATACCTCCTCCACATCCTCCTATATCTATAAATCCATCCACACCCTCCTATATATTTAAACCACATCCACACCTTCCTATATCTATACCCTCCTATATCTGTATACCCTATCCACACCCTCTTATATCTAAATACCACATCCACACCCTCCAATATCTGTATACCTCATTTATACCCTCCTCTATCTGTATACCCCATCCAGACTCTCCTATATCTTTATCCTCCATCTGCACCCTCTTAAATCTGTATACCCCATCCACACCTTCCTATATATATTAAAACCCCATCTACACCCTCCTATATCTAAATACCCCACCCACACCCTCCTATATCTGTATACCCCAATCACACCCTCTTATCACTTTATACTCCATTCACACCCTCCTTTATGTGTATACCTCATCCACACCCTCCTATATCTGTATACTCCATCCACACCCTCCTATTTCTGTATAACCCATCCACACCCTCCTATTTCTGTATACCTTTCCACTTCCTCTTTTATCTGTATATCCAATCCACACCCTCCTATATCAGTATACTCCATCCACACCCTCTTATAACTGTATACTCCATCCACACCCTCCTATATCTGTATATCATATTCACAAACTCCTATATCGGTATACCCCATCCAGAACCCTCCTATATCTGTATAACCCATACACACCCTCCTATATCTGTTTACCCCATCCACACCCTTCTATATCTGTATACCCTATCCAAATCCCTCTATATATGTATACTCCATCTACACACTCCTATATCTGTATACCCAATCCACACCCTCTTATATCTGTGTACCCCATCCACACCCACCTATATCTGTATACCCCATCAACACCCTCCTATATCTGTATACCAAATCCACACCCTTCTATATCTGTAAACCCCATCCACACCCTCCAATATCTGTAAACCTATCCACACCAGCCTTTATCTGTATACCCCATCCATACCCTCCTATATCTGTATACCCCATCCACACCCTCCTATATCTGTATACCCCATCCATACCCTCCTATATCTGTATACCCCATCCACACCCTCCTATATCTGTATACCCCATCCATACCCTCCTATATCTGTATACCCCATCCACACCGTCCTATGTCTGTATACCACATCCACACCCACCTATATCTGTATACCCCGTCCTCACCCTCCTATATCTGTATACCTAATCCATACCATTCTATATCTGTAAACCCCATCATTACCCTCTTATATCTGTTTATCCCATCCACACCCTCTTATATCTAAATACCACATCCACACCCTCCTATATCTGTATACCCCATCCAGACACTCCTATATCTGTATCCTCCATCTGCAACCTCTTAAATCTGTATACCCCATCCACACCTTCCTCTATATTTTTATCCAATCTAAACCCTCCTATATCTAAATACCCCACCCACAACCTCCTATACCTGTATACCCCATCCACACCCTCCTTTATGTGTATACCTCATCCACACCCTCCTATATCTGTATACCCCTCCACTTCCTCCTATATCAGTATATTCAATCCACACCACCATATAACTGTATACTCCATCCACACCCTCCTATATCTATATATCATATTCACAACCTCATATAACGATATGCCTCATCCACACCCTCATATATCTGTATAACCCATATACACCCTCCTATATCTGTTTACCCCATCCACACCCTCCTATATCTGTATACCCTATCCAAATCCCTCTATATATGTATACTCCATCCACACACTTCTATATCTGTATACCCAATCCACACCCTTCTATATCTGCATACCCCATCCACACCCTCCAATATCTGTAAACCTATCCACACCAGCCTTTATCTGTATACCGCGTCCATACCCTCCTATATCTGTATACCCCATCCACACCCTCCTATGTCTGTATACCACATCCACACCCTCCTATATCTGTATACCCCATCCTCACCCTCCTATATCTGTATACCTAATCCACACCATTCTATATCTGTAAACCCCATCATTACCCTCCTATATCTGTATACCCCATCCACACCCTCCTATATCTAAATACCACATCCACACCCTCCTATATCTGTAAACCCCATCTATACCCTCCTATATCTAAACCCCATCCAGACTCTCCTATATCTGTATCCTCCATCTGCACCCTTTTAAATCTGTATACCCCATCCACACCTTCCTATATATTTATACCCCATCTACACCCTCCTATATCTAAATACCCCACCCACACCCTCCTATATCTGAATACCCCATCCACACCAGCTTATGACTATATACTCCATCCACACCCTCCTTTATGTGTATACCTCATCCACACCCTCCTATATCTGTATACCCCATCCACACCCTCCTTTATCTGTATATCCCAACCACATCATCCTATATATGTTAACCCAATCCACACCCTTATATCTGTATACTCCATCCACACCCTCCTTTATCTGTATAACCCATCCACACCCTCCTATTTCTGTATACCCCTCCACTTCCTCCTGTATCTGTATATCCAATCCACACCCTCCTATATCAGTATACTCCATCCACACCCTCTTATAACTGTATACTCCCTCCACACCCTTCTTTATCTGTATATCATATTCACAACCTCCTATATCGGTATACCCCATCCACACCTTCCTATATCTGTATATCCAATCCACACCCTCCTATATCAGTATACTCCATCCACACCCTCTTATAACTGTATACTCCATCCACACCCTCCTATATATGTATATCATATTCACAACCTCCTATATCAGTATACCCCATTCACACCCTCCTATATCTGTATCACCCATATACACCCTCCTATATCTGTTTACCCCATCCACACCCTCCTATATCTGTATACCCTATCCAAATCCCTCTATATATATGTATACTCCATCCACACACTCCTATATCTGTATACCTAATCCACACCCTCTTATATCTGTGTACCCCATCCACACCCACGTATATCTGTATACCCCATCAACACCCTCCTATATCTGTATACCAAATCCACACCCTTCTATATCTGTATACCCCATCCACACCCTCCAATATCTGTAAACCTATCCACACCAGCCTTTATCTGTATACCCCGTCCATACCCTCCTATATCTGTATACCCCATCCACACCCTCGTATGTCTGTATACCACATCCACACCCTCCTATATCTGTATACCCCGTCCTCACCCTCCTATAGCTGTATACCTAATCCACACCCTCCTATATCTAAATACCACATCCACACCCTCCTATATCTGTATACCCCATCTATACCCTCCTATATCTAAACCCTATTCAGACTCTCCTATATCTGTATCCTCCATCTGCACCCTCTTAAATCTGTATACCCCATCCACACCTTCCTATATATTTATACCCCATCTACACCCTCCTATATCTAAATACCCCACCCACACCCTCCTATATCTGTATACCCCATCCACACCCTCTTATGACTATATTCTCCATCCATACCCTCCTTTATGTGCATACCTCATCCACACCCTCCTATATCTGTATACCCCATCCACACCCTCCTTTATCTGTATATCCCACCCACATCATCCTATATCTGTAAACCCAATCCACACCCTTACATCTGTATACTTCATCCACACCCTCCTTTATCTGTATAACCCATCCACACCCTCCTATTTCTGTATACCCCTCCACTTCCTCCTATATCTGTATATCCAATCCACACCCTTCTATATCAGTATACTCCATCCACACCCTCTTATAACTGTATACTCCATCCACACCCTCCTATATCTGTATATCATATTCACAACCTCCTATATCGGTATACCCCATCCACACCCTCCTATATCTGTATACCCATACACACCCTCTTATATCTGTATACCCCGTCCTCACCCTCCTATATCTGTATACCTAATCCACACCATTCTATATCTTTAAACCCCCATCATTACCCTCCTTTATCTGTATACCCGCACCACAACCTCATATATCTGTATACCTCTTCC